GCCCCCCCCCCCCCCCGGCGAAGATCCGGCAAAGAGGCTCCATCAAGTAGTCCGGGATCCGGCGATATGGTGCCCCACCGGAAGTGCAGCAGTCGGCGTTCCTGATGTTTTCTGTATTGAAGCTTCAATTCAATCGTTTAACAAATATATGATGTCGTATTGCTGTTTAATTTTATACAATCTTAAACGGCGTCGTTTGAGCTAGGGTTTTAATATCTCTGGCGTCCACTTCTTTTTGGTTGTTGACTTGAATCGCTCACCCCGGGCGCCCCTCACCCCGACCCGACGGGAATGTGAGAGGAGGTAAATCACGGTGACTCAAGGACAACACTTAGCTAGACCATATCCTAGTGCGCACCAGAGACTCCCCCCATTTTTTAGAGGTGGTCGCCTCCACAACGGTCGCTGCCAGGTTTCGATCCTTGGTCATTCTCCAAACTTCACCAAGTGCTTGCCACTTGGGCTACCCGTGCGGGTTAGTTGTTGACTTGAATGTTACGGAGTAAGTTATGGTGTTATACACTTATACCATACATAGTTTATTGAGCAATGCTAGAGGTACACCAAAAGGTGTACCCCAAATGTACACCACCCCTTCTCCATCACACATTTTTATTTGATTTTTATTTACTTTTTTTTTTAATTTTTTTTGCCTCTTTTAGTGGACAAGGAGGGGGTGGGGGACATATGGGGTACACTTTTGGTGTACCCCCAACATTTTTCTAGTTTATTTTCTTTCAGTAATTTGGGTTTTTGGTTTCCTATTTTGTGATACTCCGTATGATTATTTATTAGATAAAGCTATTTGTTTCCCATTTTGTACACCGCATAAATACACCAACATTTTGTGTTGGTGTAATGCTAATTTTTGTTGATACACCAACACTTTGTGTCAGTGTAAATTTTTTTTGACACACCAGCAGTCTATGTCAGTGTGAACCATCAAAATGTTGGTGCATACGGCCTTTAGTGTACAAATAGTGTATGAATTTTGTGGTACATGTAGCATGCTCCTTATTTATTATACATCCATTTATTTTGTTTTAGGTTCAATTAAAGTAATTGATTTGCTAAAGTTTCAAAAAAAATGAAGAGAATGAACTTTGTATTTCCCGAGTAGTTTTTTTTACGAAATATAGCTGTGGATGAATTAAATATAGCTTAATTTTAGAGTTGTTTTTTCATGATCTTATGTTCACATGTGAAATGTGAACTTTCTCGCACATTTTAGTACGGAGTATTTTACAAGATGACAAGTGGATCTTTTTCTCTTTTACAAAATGTCAAATCTTTTATGGTATCAATGCATTCATGTCTATGAAATAAGCATGAGTTTTAGACCACGTATAGTAACAATAATCCTTAATTTAAATTTTTAGAATATTTGGTTGAAAGAAAATTTCTTAGTTGTATATTTTTAATCAATTTGTTATTGTATTTTCTAAAAATAAAAAGGGATACCTTGAACCCCATCTTCTAAGTGGTGCCCACCCAACATTTACATCCTGGCTTCGCCACTGTGGCCATTCAACTAGAAGCCCAAAGGAATTACAAGTGAGAACCCTTAAATTTTTGAAGCCTCCAGCAAGGTTGAGATCCATAAACCCCAAAACTGTTACTACCCAAAGCAATAGGCAGTCTTACCCTAAACGCAATAGACAGTCATCAAAGAAATTACCCTTAGAAACTCACAGTCCCTAATCCATATTGTCCGTAAATTGTTTCCCTCTTATGGTTCCTTCTTCTCCCCATTGAATACAAACAGAACAAAGAGCTTATTGCAGCCCATAAACCATTCTAATATGGAGAATCTAGCTTTATACATTTATAATTTGTGATTCCTCGGGCTCCTCCCCTGTTAAGAAATCCATCACTAGCTTTTCATCAGCTTTAGATGAGGAAAAGAAAATAGGGTGTTTGGATCCTTCAAATTGAATTAGGCTCACTTTCTCCATGCTTTTCACCGTCTCCCGAGTTGCTCTAAGTGTCTTTCCCGACATATTTTGAAGTAAGCCCGATTTGAGTTTATCCAATAACACCTTTTTAGCCAAACCCTCTAGAATTTGACATTCCACAGCCTTGAAGATGGATTCAAAATACGCCTCAAAAGCTGGTTGAAATAGAGTTTGAACCTTCTTTTCCTCTTCCATAGAGTCTTGGCCCTCTTCTGGATCTGAGCTAAATCCATTTTCTGTGAACCTATTTGCCCTTGAAGCCATTGCAATATCCCGATCAAAAAGATTTGAAGATATAAAAGGAGAGCTCAGCTGTTCCTCCACTCCTCCCTCCACTTCAAGCACCTTGTCAATCATCTGTAAAGAATCTAAAGCTTTTTCTCTTCAGGTGTAGTTCACACCCTTATCTGTAAAACTGGTCCCTTCTTCAAGGTTCAAAGCTTCTTTCAGCGCTTTTACAAAAAGGTTGATGCCTGCTGATTGCCAACCAGCTGGGATGCATATAACGGACAGTTCCCTGTTTATACCAGCACTGACCCTTACAAAATCACGGACAGTGCTCCTTCAAACCGTGAAATCATCCAACCCTCCCTTGCAATTGGTGGGTGACATAAAGATTCAGATAACCAGAGAGCAATTGAACGCAGAATAGAAAGATAACGATTTTCCCCATTTTTGGATTCAGAAATTATTAGGTTACCTGAGACCTTGAATTCAAAGACTTTGCTTTCAATCGAAATTGAAACACCCGAATCCCTTTTATAGGGCCCTTGATATCGTGATGGGTTTGCTCACCAAATTGTAAGGTAAAGCTCACTTTGAATTTTTTTTGAAAAAATAAAATCAAAGAAAGAGGTGCTGACTGGATTTTGACCGTTGATTGAGACCTTTGACCGCCACCTGCCGCCCCCGGACAATGCCAGTCGCCGGGATCCGCCACTGGCCGCCGGCCGCCGGAATCTGCCGCCACCGCTGGTTGCCGGAATCTGCCGCCACCGCCGGTCGCCGGAATCTGCCGCCCGCCACCACCGGTCGCTGGAATCCGCCGCCGCCCCGCCGCCGCTGACCGGTGTTGCTATTTTTTTTATTAATTTTAAATATTTAAAATTTAAAAAAAAAGTGAGTTATGATGTTCAAAGTGGTGAGCTTTAATTTATTTCTACGTGAGCTTTGCATTGTCCATTGGTGAGCTTTGTAGTGTAGTGTGGTGAGCTTTGCGTCATATTACCGAAACATGTCATCTCACCATAATGTGTCATCTCACTGGAGTCAATTATATATATATATATATATATATATATATATATATATATATATATATATATATATATATATATATAGGGATTGACTCCAGTGAGATGACACCTTACGGTGAGATGACATGCTTCGGTCAGATGACACAAAGCTCACCAAAGTGTAAGGCAAAGCTCACCATATATATATATATATATATATATATATATATATATATATATATATATATATATATATATATATATATATATATATAATATAGATTTTGGTTATGGTGAGAATGCGATCTTAGGAGAGAAATGAGAATGAATCTGGTGTTTTAGATTGTGCGATCTAAGGGTCATGATTGCATCAAAATTAGGTGCAACAAAATGGTTTGAAAATGCATCACGTCGAAATGCATCATAATCCTTTGAAAATGCACTATCTCAAAATCTGAGCGCAGGATGCAATCTGAGCCGCACGATGCATCAGATCCAACGGCTAGATTTCATTCTCATTTCTCTCCACAAGGTGCATTCTCACAGGAACCGGCCCCTATATATATATATATATATATATATATATATATATATATATATATATAGACTGGAAGGAGTATTTTCTAGCTGAACAGTTAGCTTGGTTGAGGATTTTTGGCTTCTAGGAGATGTTTGCTGGGTAGTAAGCTTCAAGAGGAAGAAGTCAAATTATGGGCGGGTGTTATAGCCATCTCCTTATCCTTTTGCTTTTTAGTCCTGTTTTCTTTTGGCTTGTTTTCTGTGATTTGTTTTGGCCAGTTGTTGGGGACGGCCACTCCCACCTCATGTACCTTTCTTCTTTTATGAATAAATCTATCTTTCAATATATATATATATATATATATTGAA